CCGTTCTTCAATACTAATGATGAGATTTGTAGTATATTTTAGTAGTTTTTTTTTTTCTTTTTAGCATGTTGATCTAAAACCGCAGTTTTTTCTGAAACTTTTTCATCAAATGTTACATCAAACCAAATTAGAGATTTATATATCTGCTCTTTCAGCTCATATTAATATTTAACATGTTTTAGTACCCTTTTTTAGTACTTTTAGTGCGATCTTCCGCGAATATTTTTATAAGAGGCAAGTCTTCATATTAGAATTCCGAATCTACCAAATGTAGGAGACTGATATTGCGATTTGAAAATTTGAATTAAATTGATTATGTTTATTAGAGATATCTTGGGCAACAGGCGGATATTAATAGGACGACGTCAATTTGAATTACATTGATTGAAAATTTGAATTCAATTGATTATGTTTTTAGTGATATCTTGGGCAACAGGCGAATATGGATAGGACGACGTCAAATATTTTCCATATATTTTTTTTAATTTTTGGAAAGTCGACCTGTAAAGCTTGCAAGAAACATTTTTTATCAGATAATTTTAAAGACCAAGAAGCTCTTCAAATCACATTGTTTAAATAAAGTTTGGGATCAAAACCTTTTTTCAACACAAAATGATTTGTGTATATTAATTTAGACTGGTGTAATATAAATGATATTTTTGTTTAGACATATTAAGATCACTTCGCCAAAGATCTCAATTAGATTGAAATGACAAATAACCACTACCATACAATACAATACAATACTCTCCCACCGCCATGTCTTACTTGGCAAATCTTCAATTCAATTGAATTTGGCTGGCTCACTTCATTCGTAACCACAATCCGATGCTGCTGCATTAACACAATCCGCCACGCCCGGCCCTATTCTCAGCTTTGTGGTGCGGTGTTTGGCAAAGAAATAAACGCTAAAACAAATCTTCGAATTCGAAGCGGTTGAACGCAAAAATAAATGACAAGTTGTAACCGCATCTGGGATTTACACTATCCGTCGCATCAAATTAAGATAAAAATGGCAACAAATGTTATGGCATAACAACAAACTACAACAAAACAAAACGAAATGATTAATGATTTGTGTGTAATACTTAGAATAATGCGGGTTAGTCGGGTGATGGCAACTTGATACAAACATCGTTGTAAAGTTTCTTTTATAGTTTTGTTTTATCGCTTCATGAGTTGGGTACACGGAGCGAATGAGTTTTTTTTTTTTTTTTTTGTTATGCCCTCCACCATAGTATGGAGGGTATATTAATTTTGTCATTCCGTTTGTAACACTTCGAAATATACATTTTAGACCCTACAAAGTAAATATATCCTTGATCAGCATAAAATTCTATGTCGATTTAAAAATGTTCGTTCATCTGTCCGTCTGCGGAAATCACTCTAGCTTCCGAACGAAATGAAGTAAGTTGATAAAAATTTACTCATATGTGTATTATACATGCAAGACATGGGTTTGAAAATGGACCATGTAGATCCACATCTTTGTATAGCCCCCATATAAAGGTACCTCCCGATATGCGGTACTTTGAAGGTTTTTGTGACATTATTCACCGAAATTGTTTCAAATTTGGTATTTGAAGTTCGCAATGGATACTACAGCCTAAGACAGAAAATTGTCTGTTCAGGTCCAAGTCTTCGTATAGTCCCCATATAACGATACCCCCCGATATTCGGTACTTTGATGATTTTAGCGACATTATTTACCGGAACTATTTCAAATTTAGTATTTGAAGTTCGCAAGGGATACTACAGCATAATAATGAAAATTGTCTGTGCAGGTTCACGTCTTCGTATAGCCCCCATATAACGGTACCTCCCGATATTCGATATTTTTATGATTTTAGCGACATTATTTACCGGAATTGTTTCAAAATTGGTATTTGAAGTTTCTAATGGCTACTACACCCTGAAACACAAAATGGGCCAAGTAGGTCCACATCTTCGTATAGCCCCCATATAACGGTACCTCCCGATAAGCAGTGTTTTGATGATTTTAGCGACATTATTTACCGAAATAGTTTCAAATTTGGTATTCGAAGTTCGTAATGAATACTACAGCCTATGACGGAAAATTGTTTGTGCAGGTCCACGTCTTCGTATAGTCCCCATAAAACGGTACCCATTGATATTCGAAATTTTGATGGTTTCAGCAACATTATTCACCGGAATCGCTTTAAATTTCGTACTGGAAGATCCTAATGGATACTACAACCTATGGCAAAAAATGTTGTATGCATGTCCAGATCTTCGTATAGCCCCCATATAACGGTCCCTCCCGATATTCGGTATTTTGATGATTTTAGCGACATTATTCACCGGAATTGTTTTAAATTTGGCATTTGAAGTTCGTAATGGATACATCAGTCTATGACAGAAAATTGTCTGTGCAGGTCCACGTCTTCGTACAGCCCCCATATAATGATACCTCCCGATATTCGGTCTTTTTATTAATTTAAGCCTCATTACTTGCCATAGTAGTTTCAAATTACGTATTTAGAGTTCGTAATGGGAACTACAGTATGTGGCAGAAAATTGTCTATGCAGGTCCAGGTCTTCGTATAGGCCCCATATATCAGTACCTCCCTATATTCGGTATTTTGACAATTTTAGGTACAATACTCACCGAAATTGTTTGAGATGAAGTTCGTAATGAATGCTACAGCCTTCATATGACTACTACGAAATAACAGTACCTCCTTATATACGGTATTTTGATGATATTAGCTGCATTATTCACCGTTTATTTCAAGTTTCGAAGTTGAATATGGTAATGGCTTATGACAGCTATCTTCGGTAATTTTTAAGATTTTAACAGAATTTTTAACGGATTTTATTTTTTGAAACTTTCCAAATTCGTTCCAAATGGTGGAGGGAATTCAAAGTTTCTGCTTTTTAACTTGTTAAATAATTGTACAACTAAATTTTTCCCAGTGTACCCCCGCTCTGGGTTAATCAAGTTACTTTGTTTGCCAACCACATTTAAAAGGTTAAGTGTTAGGCCGTTGTTTAACTAGTTAACCCAAGACACCTCTAAACGCTACTCAACAGCTCTCCAGCCATGTATCTGTTACTTATCACCCATCCACTGCAAACGCTGGTGATTGATCTCCCTCACCTCCCATCTCGCCCCAGGTCACTTGGAAGTTTATTAACAAAAGCATTGTCGTAATGAGAAATTAGATTGTCTTCATCTTCTCCGTTGATTTGCATCGACATCTGCCCTCAGACGGCGTCAGGCAAAATTTAAATAATTTACTTCCATTGTTCGAAGGATGAAAGGTGTGTAACCTTATTTACTCAAGAAATTGCTGAGAATTCATTTCAATTAAAACTTTTGACTGCCACCACCATTTCTTGTGCGCGTGTGAGGAATGAGGAGGTAATTAATTATGGCCGACATTAGACGTGTGTAATTATCGAAGGGGGAAATAAAAAAATAGAAATTAAAAAAAGTAAATAAATAAAAATTAAAAATTTTGTGTAGCCTTTAAATATATTTCTTGGAGAAGTTTTAAAAATCTATGTTGAAATCAGTTCCAGGATTTTGCCAAATTTAACCAATCTATAAAAAGATAACGATACACAAAACTGCCAAAATAACAATTTTTGTTACCCATTCGGTCCATTGTGATCATTCTGCGTGAAAGATAAAAGGAAGGAGGATTAAAGGTGATAGCTTTTGATAGAGAAAAAAGAGATGTGTTTTATCTCTGGTGCCAGAGCTAGGATTGTCTTTATACTCCTTCCTTTTATAGAGCAGGGAAGAGAACGGATCATCCGATTTTGTTAAAACTTTGCAAATCCTAATATTTGTATCAGTGCTTAGTCCTGCGATACCATATAAAATGTGAAAAAAGAGTTTGACTGTCCGATTCCAATATTTCTATCAATCAAAACTTCATAAATCGTACAAAATTTTCAAACTTTGAAGGTTTTACATATTTTACAAATTTTTCATTTTTTCGAAAAAAAAAATAAAAATAAAATCTTTACCTTTAACACCAAGGAGTCAACAAAATCTTTCATTTTGAAGTTACCTAGGAGGATATAAGCAATATCATTGCACAATTGACCCACATACAATTATTCTGTCCAAAACTATTTCAATGTCTCCATATGAAATCAGATTTCCTAATAGCAAATGTCGGGTTTCAGGACCTAGTACTATTTAATACGTTTCGTACAATTATCTCAGTATCTCATAACTCAATTCCAGATACAATCAGAGACTTCAGCATCAAGTTTGAGGATTACAGCCCTCTACATGCACCCAATACCAAATATAGTACCATTTAGTACTTTCCGTACAATATAGGATGCAATTCTAAACCACCTCTATATCTCAATTCCAAATAACAACAGACACCTCAATATCATGGTACCATTTTAGAACTTTTGTACCATTTTGGAAATTTTTAGTAATCTAAAAATTGGAATTTCCAAAAACTCTTTGGGATATCTGTCCTGCACTCCATCAGTGACTCTCATTCCAAATTACAGAAACCAAGACTGACCCTGGTGCAAAATTTCAGGATTCTTGCTTCAGCCGTTTTTTCTGTCGAAAACTAGTTTCTGTATATGATTTAAGATTTTTCCAGGAAAAAATCAAAGTATTCGATATAGGCACCTATTGGGAACCCCCCAAAAAATAATTAATTTCTAGAAAATTTCAAAAGTTTATTCATTTTTGGATTTATCACAAATCGAAGTCTTTAACTATTTGTTATACGTCCCTCAAAAGAAGTCTTTCTAACTATCCAAAAATTGCAATCTTTTTTTTAAATATTAAAATGTAATTAAAACAAGAATATAAAGCAATTCTCATTATCTCCTTTTTACTTGTAAACCCCCTTTTTCCCATCCTTTTACTGAAACAAAAAACTACAAATTTCCGTTAAAAAAGGAAAAAAACAACATCTTATAAATTTTAAATGAATTGCAAATCTAATTCCTTATTCTCTTTTTCCATTGCCTCTTTTTCTTGTATCTTTCAGAACACATTGAAGTAATTCCGTTTGCCGAAAATTCGTTGTATATGAGCTGCTCAGTATTGTTTCGATTACATTTGGCGAAGAAGTGAAAGTAAAATTCGCAGCTGAAAAGTTAACAATAAGAATATCCCAACGTCCCTCCTGAACGTCACCGTCACCCCGTTCACCATCACCACAGCTGATTATCGTTTTGTGGAACCACCAGCGCGAACGCATTTATAATTAGAATTTAACAAGCCGAGTAAAGTGGGGAAAATATACGCTCTTCAGGTAAGCAGAGAAAAGTTTATTTGTTGCCCTCTTTTCTTCTCCCCTTCAATAGTAGAAAGAAAGTCGAATAAAATAATAAGGAGTGTACAACAACAATACAATTTTCCCAAGTCCATGGAGAATATAAACTGAAAGTCGAGGGAAAAATAAAATGTATTTATGTTATAAATTTACATAATTGAGGATATCTCCACTGTCAGCAGGTCCCTATAAAAGTCTATGATTTTGCCATTAATTCGCCAGGTTAACTGGCGTAAGCGAAGAAGCAAAGCTTTCTCCCTTTGCCATACACCCATATAAAATAATAACAATAATTTATATTTAATTACATTGTGTAAGTACATTTTTTCTCTCTTTCTATCGCTCTCTCTCTCTCTCTCTTACTTAGTTTTCTTCACCCTCTTGAAGGGCACACCCGTAGACACACACATATATTAATTGCATGGGGTACATGTATGTGGGGGGCATTTTGGCATTATGTAATGAAATTGCGTAATCAGAAATTCCAGTCTTGTACAAAGTTTACCCCATTCCGTCTTTATGTCTTCTTCATATCGTCCATTTTGGGTGCGGAGGCCATGAGTGTTACGACAATGTGTAACCAGCAGATATAATGGGCTTCTTTGTCGAAGGGTTCGAACTAATTTAGCTTAATTTAAATCGGCTTGAAATAGGGTTACCGGGCACTACTACAAAAAAACTTGGTCCTTGAAGATAGATGCTCAAAAAATCCAAGATTGAAAATCAGTTGCTTCTGGATAAAATGTCTTAAAAAATCGAATGTTATAGCTCAGAGTCATCTAAAAATTAATTAAAATTGTCCGACGGTCCTTGAAAACTGAAGAAAATAATTCCAAAATGGGGGTGAAGAAATAAATAAAATTTCAAAAAAACCTAAAAAACTGGCATGCCCTTCTTAAAAAAAACTTGTACTTTTTGAAAGAATATTTATAAAAAATTATGTTGTTTCCCTAAAAAAAAAAAATATTAAAAAATAATAAAATAAATAAAAATAATAAATTTTGTCTTAAAAAAATATTTCTAAAAATCGATATTTTGCACTGAAAAATATTATTGGATAACAAATATTTAAAATCATCATTTGCTCCTTAAAAAATGTTTCAAAATATCAATATTTCAAAAATATTTTAAAATGACCTGAAAAAATTTATCTAAAATATCATTTGTGGTATTTAAAACCCTATGGCATAAAATCCACTATTGTTTGTTTAAAAAAATATTTTCAAGAGATAAATTTTTGTTCTTGAAATTATATTCCCCAAAACCACATTTTATCCTCAAAATAAATTCTTAAAAAATATTTTTTGATCTGGAGAAATATTCTGGAGAAATAATCATAATAATAATCAAAAATCGACATCTGCACTTTAATTGTTTTTGTTCCCTGAAAAATTATTCCTTAAAAAAACACGCTTGGTCCTTGAAATTATATTTTTAAAAGCCGATGTGTGGTCCTTGAAGAATATTTCAACAAAACACAAATTTAGTTGTTGAAGAATTTCACGTTTTCTTCTTTGAAGAAAAAGGAATTAAAAACTCTACCATTCATCCTTCGTAAATCCTCCTTAATCCTTGAAATAATTTCTAGAAAAGTCCAATTTTGCGTCTTCAAAAATGCTCAGCAATTCAGATTTGATCCTTGAAAATATATTATTAAAAAGCCTCCCTTTGATCATGTTCGTTACTAGAATAGAAGTCCATTCAATAACCAGTTCTGAAGTTCTTTGACAAAATATTGAAACAAAAATCGAAAACTTGAAACAAATGTCTTTCACAATCCGCGTCAGGCAATTATCAGATTCTTCATTAAAAATTCCTTTTTTACAAATCCTCTGCTAATCCTTGATACAAATCTTTAACAAAGCTTCGTCCTTCGGTCCTGGAAATATTTAATGAAATCAGATGCTTGAAAAATTTGTAAAAAGCGACGGTTGATGATTAGCACTCCTTTAAAAAACTTTAAAAAGTCTAATTTTAATGCACATCAGGTCCTTCAAATCCTCTTTAAAAAAAAAACCTCTAAAAACTTTAAATCAGTAGAACATTAGGTCATTGAAAAAAATTCTTAAAAATTCCAATCTTGAAGCTAAGAGAATGATTTAAAAAAGGGCTTAAACGATTCTACGTTTATAGCTGGGTAAAATTTCTCGTTTATAGCTCATAAAGTCCTTGACAAAAATATAATTAAAAACTTCACCTTTGAAGCTCATAAGGTCCTTGATTTTTTAATCCAAGTTTGCAGCTCATCAGTTTCCAAAAAAAAAAATAATTTTGCCCCTCATCACGTCCTACAAACGCTTCTTTAAATAAACCAGATTTGTGGCACTGTGGAGCCACAGGTCCTTCAAAAATGATTCTTAAAATTCACGTTTGTGGCAACTCAGGTCCTTTGGAAAAGTTTTTTTAAAAAAATCCAGATTTTATACCCTCATGTCCTTTGGAAAGGTTTTTTTTTAAAAAATCGAAGTTTGCGGTTCATCAGGTCTTTTGGAAAAATTTCTTTAAAAAACCCACGTTTGTAGCTTCTTAGGTCTTTAAAAAAAGGTTCTTTAAAAAACCCACGTTTGTGGCTCATCAAGTCTTTTGGAAAATTTTCTTTAAAAAATCCACGTTTGTGGTTCATAAGGTTCTCAGGAAAAATTTCTTTCTTTAAATCCACATTTGTGGTTCATCAGGTCCTTTGGAAAATTTTCTCCAAAAAATTCTACATTTGTGATTAATTAGGTCCTTTGGAAAAATTCTCTTTAAAAAATTCATGCTTTGAAAAAAAAAATCTAGATTTGAGGCAACCTATTTCCTCTGGAAATTCTCTTTAAAAAATCCAAGTTTGTGGCTTCCCAGTTCCTCTGACTTTTTCTTTTTAAAATTCTCATTTGTGGCACCACAGGGTCTCTGAAAATTTTATTTAAAATATCCACGTTTCTGGCTCCCCAGTTCCTCTGAAAAATTTCTTAAAAATATCCATGATCGTGGATCCCCACACCCTTTGAAAAAGTTTCTGTAAAAATCCAAACTTGTGGCTCCCTACTTCCTCTAAAAAATATTTTAAAAATCCAAGTTTTTATCTCCCCAGTTCCTCTGAAAAATTTGTTAAAAAAATACAGATTTGTGGTTCCCAAGTTTCCCTGAAAATTTTATTAAAAATCCACGTTTTAGCTCCCCAGTTCATGTGAAATTTTTCTTTAAAAGTCCATTTGTGGCCCACCGAGGTCTTTGGAAAATTTTCTTAAGATTCTTAGATCTCCAAAGTTCCTATTAAAGATGGTTAAAAAATCCCTAGTTTTTGGCTTCCCACCTCTTCTAAAAATCTCTCGCTTCCCAGTTTCTTTAAAAAATTCACATTTGTGGCCCTCCAGGTCCTTTGAAAAACTTTCCTCAAAAAGTCCACGTTTGTGGCTCCTCATGTCCTTTGAAAAAGTTTATTAAGAAATCTACATTTTTAACAAATTAGGTCCCAGAAGAAAAATCTTTGTTATCCCAAAGTTTCTTAGAAAGAGTTTCTTCACAAAATTCACGCTTGTAGCTCCGAAAGCCCTTTGAAAAATGTATAAAAAATTCGCTTAAAAAAAAACGAAAACTCCGTTTGAAGCTCATCAAGTCCTTGGGAGAACAAGTTTCCATCTCCCAACCTTAAAAATATTTTCCAAAATCTGTGATCTTTTCTCTGATTCTCAATCAATTTGGTCACCCTATTAATGAGGAAGTTCTGTGTAAGGTGGCTCACGAAGAAAAAGCTTCAAATCAATTTGTCGAAGGCTTCATTCATATTGAATAAGATGCGGAAGTACACACAGGCATAAATACAAAGGTAGTAAAACTGTAGGGGTAATAAGGACTGGCATCAAGTCATTCATTCACTCTGTGCAAAAGTACTTCAACGTTTAAGTATGTGTTTACACACACATATGTGTGTGGGGTAAATGTTGTTAAAGAGTGGGGGAGAGACAGAGAGAGTCGCACAAACGATTACGTTATGTGTGGATGTGCGTGTGTGTGTTTGGTTGTCTGTGTGTGTCCAAGAGTATTTGTGTTTGCCTCACAAACGAGTAAAAGGATTCGTGTTTAATTGAGTTCATAGGACTTTAACTGTGTGTGTGCCACACACACACAAGTGTTAGTAAGTTAGTGACTGCATTAGGTCTTCAAAGGAAAACATGTTTCATTAGAGCGTATTTACCAATCAACTCGAATGTTGCAGGGCAATGTGACATATATTCTTGAAAACGGTTGGTGTTTTGTTTTAAGGTGTTTTTTGTTTTAAACCATGGCAAGCGTGACAGATATGTATGTCAATTTTAAATAATGTATATATATTGAGTACAGGGTCGGTCAATTCCATTACATACAGCTTGTTCTCTTTCTGGAAAAGATTATTTTTTTTTTTTTTTGAAAATCATTCATTTCGAAATCTTTGCTTGGAAATGAAAATGAACTTTGAAATAATTCCCTAAAGGGGATTATTGCAGCACACCCATACACAGACATTTCGATGGCATGTGAATGCTGTTTACTTTGCAGGACAAAGATGCCAGGCAGCATACCACTCCCCCTCCCGGTTGCAGGTTGCATGTTGCACTTGGACCTACAGCAAGTTTTGCTGCTTGAATTGTTTACCGTTTGGCAATGTCTTTGTTTTCCGATTTTCTTACAAGAAATCTGACAAAATGTGTATAAAATGATAGAAAAAAACTTGGAAAACTATTCAAAAGTTTTCTTCTCTTCCTTTTCCACCTTGCCAGGTATTATGTCCTGCTATGTGTCCTTTTTTTCTCAGAGTATTTAACAAGAAATCCAACATCGAAAGGAAATATGTATTTTAAATCTTTCGAGAATCTTGCCATTCATTGTTGTAGCTGTCACTCGTTTAGACAAAAAGGATTCTTTTTTTTTGGTGTCCAATCCCTTGCTTGTTACAAAAAGATAAAGGATTCTTTCTTTCCATCTCCGATAAATTTTTGGGATTTTGGAAAATTCTTAGA